TACCTATCTCTGGAAATAATCTGACAGATCAGCAGAAGGTGGGATTCCATGCTCATGGTACTTACTATTCAAATCAAATGAATAGCCAATATTAACTATCTACAAAATATGGTGGTTTTTTGTTTTGGATTTTGGGTGTTTTTTTTTTTTTTAACCTCCAATTATCACTACTGTTTGTGTACAGGATTGAACACATAGTGAGATCATCTGGTTCTGGTGTCTCACACAAAAGAGAAAATTAGAACTGTTAAACATGTTTAAATCTAGAGATTATCAACTAGATATCTGAATTGTCTTGAAATGAATAAACTTGAAGTAAAAGTTGTCAGTTGGGGCTTGAAAGATACTTAGTGGGTAAAGTCAAGTCAGATCATCTACATGGTGAAAGGTTATAACTCATTCCTCAAAAGTTGTAACCTTCACATGTATTATGGCAAATGCATACCACACTGCTTTTGAAGAATAAATAAATAATTGTAACAAAATTGTAATGAAGTTGTTATGGGAAAATATACACTGGGAATTAAATGCTTAAGGAGTGACGCTTATTGGGAGCTATGTTTGAGGACATTCCAATCCAAAGTGAGTTCCAGATCAGTTAGAATCTGAAAAGCACAACACAGAGGATGAAAAAGAGATGGACCTGAAAAATTTTCTTAGGAAGATGATAGAGACCTTTAAACAGGAAACAAGAAAATCCCTTAAAGAAATAGAAGAAAACACAAGCAAAAATTTACTTGAAATGGAGGAAAAGACAAACCAAAAAATTCAAGAAATAAACAAATCTCTTAAAGAATCTAAAGAAAGCCAAGAAAAAACAACCTTCTCCCCAACCAACCAAAGAACTTAGACAAAGAGATGAGCCAGAGAAGACATGTGTGCTTTCCTTTCAATATCTGATTACAGTCTGGATAGTGTTGTGTGAGAACTGTCTAGAGGAATAAGAATCTTAGATTCCTTGCAGGATTATGAACCAATAACATATTTCAAAAGCAATTTGGGTAGAAGAATATGTATGTAAAATTTGTTTGAATGTACTTTTATTGAACTTCAGAAATATAGTCTCCTGGCCCACTCAAATATTTAGAATATTCTTTTTTTTTTCTTTTTTGAAAATCTTTTTTTCATTCAGTATGCTCTGATTATGGGTTTTCCTGCCCAGTTCCTCTCTATCTCCCCTGCCCTCCAGTTCCATGCCCTTTGTGTCTCTTATTAGAAACAAACAGGAATCTAAGCAATAAAATAAAAGACACAAATACAAACAAATTGGAACATGACAAAACAAGAAATAGAACCAAAGAAAAAGCATAAGAAACACATATAGATGTAGAAATACACACACATCTACACACGCAAAAACCCCAGACCAGAAGCCATAATACAGAGGCAGAGGACCTGCAAAGTCTAAGACAAAATGGACTTACTTAACATTTTGAAACAGAGAACCTCCAAAAATGTTGCTTAGTCATTTTGAGTTGGACATCTGCTGCTGGACATGGGACTAACCCTTAAGAGTGGCTTGTTTTCCCTTGTAGAAAACTAATTTTTCATTTGCAAGTGGCTTTTAATTGGAGATAGATAGATTCTGGGTTAGGACTGGGGTCATGTATCTACTTCTCCTTTCAACTCTAGGACCCTCATTGTTGCAGACCCTTGGAGACCCTGTGCATGCTGCCATAGTCCCTGTAAGTTCATATGTGTGCCAGCCCTGTTGTGTCTAGAAGGCCTTGATTCCTTGTTGTCCTTCATCTTCTATGGCATTTATACTCTTTCTGCCTCTTCTTTTGCAGAGTTACCAGAGCCCTGGGGTGAGGTATTTGATAAGGAGAAAGGAGTGAAATACTCTTTAATATTAAATTATCTTTAGGTTGAGTAGATGGATCAGTCAGTTAAGTGTTTGACAGGCAAGCATGGGGATGTGAGCTCTTACTTCCAGAATTCACATAAAAAGCTAACCACACTGGCACATACCCACAATTACTGCAATGAGGAGCTGTTGATAGTAGGATGTAGAGCTCACAGATGAGTCACTATGCACTCTTTAAGGTTCTCATGCCACACTGGTCATTTTTGTGGTTCACAGGTCTTGTAGCTGGGTATGTCAATTGGTTGTTACCCACCTTTAGAAACTTGTATGATGCTTTCTCTTCCATGAAAGATCATCCCTAGGAGGAGGTATTTAGATCATTTCTAGCTTAGGAACCTCTGGGGGCTTCATTTCATGTTCATGGAAGACTTGTCTTTGTTTTTGATTTTTCAAAATTATTTATTTATATTTTATGTGAATGAGTGTTTTGCTTGCATGTACATATAAGAAGCATGTTTATGCTCCACTGTGAAGTTGAGAAGAAGACATAAGATACCCTGGAACTGGAGTTACAGATGACTGTGAGTCATTATGTAGGTCTGGGAAACAAACATGGGTCCTCTGCAAAAGCAACAGGTGCTCTTAACTACTAAATATTTTTTCTGCCCCCTCAGATATATTCTTTGTATTTTCAGACATCCCACAGATGTTTTCATAAAATAGAATGAGAATGCCACTTATATGTGAAGAAATATGAGCTCTTTACTATGAAATAATAATATGTAATTATGATGGTACATCTTGAGGTCAGGTTGACAAGATTTTAAATTATCATGAAAGCAAACCACTGAGTATATCTGTGAGGGATTTTCTACATTAGGTTATTTAATGTGGAAATATCAAATACCCACATTAAATGCATCAGCACCATCTCATTGAATGAAGTCCTGTACTGAATAAAAACATATAAAGGGTCCTGAGAACCATTCACCTTTCTGCTTCCTGAAATCAAGTGCAATGGGACCAACTGCCTCAACCTCCTGAGTCCACAATGCCTCCACACGATAATCCTGGAACTGTAGTTTGAAATGACCTTTTCCTTCTTTAAATTGCTATTCTCAGGTATTTCATCACAGTAATAACAGAAGTTAGTATTCAGAGCATTGGCTATGCTCCCTGCTGAGACAGGTCAAGAAGCTTGATCTGAGCTTCCTTTGAGCTTTGCTGTAATGCTACCTATCTGAGTTCAAGTTGTAGATGTCTCTGAAATGAAAACTTTACCTTAGCAGAATTACTAGCAGGTTTAAATATACTAAGTAGCCACTTTTCAGTCAATTATCATTGCAACACAATTTAGCATAAAGTTGTTCAATATTTCAGGAGTCTCAAATTTTAATTTTCATATTTTCTGTTTCTCATATGCATGCTTTTAAGTTTTTTAAATTGAAAATTGATTTTTCCATATAACATATTCTTATATGTTTCCCTGCTCTCATATCATCCCAGATCCTTTCCATTTATCCACCTATCCAACTTGATGCCTTCTTTCTCTATTTAGGAAGCAAGCAAATTAAAAATGAGAACGCATATCTTTTTTTTTACCAGTGCACACTAATATACTTAAATGTCTTCACAGTCTTCACATGTTAAACTTTCAGAAGCTTAAGTCTTGAAAGAAGAAGGCAGAGTGAAGTGGAACACTTGTATTAGATTATGCCATAAATTTGATTTTTAGGAAAACAAAACCCAAGACACAAAAAACAAATGAATACTTCTTTCTGACTGCTGAATTTTACCTCACTAGGTTCAAATTTTCTGTTACTTTAGTGATGTGTACCAACAAAATAAATACATGTTATATATGTATATATATTCTTCACTATAGTTCTAATAATTGTATCCTAATATATAGACATCTAATAAAAATAGAATGAATATTGTATTTCATTTTATAGTCCAGCATCTATTCATCATTAACTGTTATTAAATAATGGTTATCAGTGGTGTAAGGACACTTTTAAGCAAGTGTCTGTCTTACAGTGCACAGGTTCATGTGGTGTGGGTGGAGTAAATACAACTGAAGAGATCCTAATAGTTTCACACAGACATACAAAACAAACAGCACAAGTAGTTATCCAAAAGTCAGGAAAGATGTCTTGAAACAGGACAGAGCCTGCGTCCACTGGAGCAGGTACCATCTATTATTTTGGCCATCTCATCTGAGGTTTTGGAGGGAAGAAAGGGAAGAGAAAATAATGCAATTACATTATAATCTCAAATATGAAAATAATTTTTAAAAAGGCATAGGGATGAACACCTGTAATTCTAGTGTTGGGAAGCTAACTGGAAAAAATTCAACCCTTCAAACCCTAGTGAATATTGCCTTCTTTTGAGGTATTTTCTCTAATCTCCCAAGACAGAATTATGTTATTCCCCCAAATGCATATTTCTCTAGTACTAAATTTATGACTTCCACATGGCACTTTTATGCTCATATGAAAACACTTCCTGTCCCCAGAGCATACTGCCTTGAATAAAATACCGTTTAAATGTCTACCCTTCCAAATTTGCTGGCCATACACCTCTGAACAGAGACCACATGTTGTCTTATTTCTTTACCTGTTGCATTCTATACTCTGCTTGTTACCCGAATAATAAGTCCCCATTGTGACAAATGAATGAGTGGAAAGAAATCTAGGAATGATTAATAAAAGTCCCTGCAATGGATAGACTTTTAACTGAAGAAACAAAACTGTAGTAGTTTTGGAAGTCTTGCATCTTCTAATTCACAGTGGGAATCATTTATTCTCCAACAGTGTGAAGCAAAATAAATTTATGTGACATCAAAGAAGCTGCCAGACACTATGTATAAAATGAAGAAAATAATCAATATCTTTGTACAAGTAACCATTGAAAATTTTCTATGCTGCATGAGATTGGGTATGAAATTATTGCTATACTTTGACAGATTTGTATACAAAGAAAAATATAAGGAAATAACATGTTTTTGCCAATTAAATTATTACTAATTAAAGGATACTAAATTATGAAAAAATGAACAAAATAAACCAAGTTGAATTTTCTGTGCTTTTTTAACTTTTAGGATTTGCGTAGATAAGACAAGTATGGAATAGTCTGTCATTTTTAGGACTCTGTGTAATCTTTGAAATGTTTATATTTATGTAGGTGAAGAGTGCTCACTTCATCAACACATATACTAAAATTGAAATTATACAGAAAAGATTCATGTGGTCCTTGTGAAAGGATGACACACAAATTTGTGAAACATTTCAAATTTTTAAATGAAAATTTAGGAATTCAAACAGAAGCTATAGAGGCAAGCTTCATAAACAGAATACAAGAGCTGCAAAAAAGAATCTCAGACATTGAAGATATGATAGAAGAAATGAATACATTGGTCAAAGAAGCTAAATTTTTCTGGAATGAAACATCCAGGAAATCTGAGACACTATGAATAGAGAAACTTAAGAATAATAGGAATAGAAGATGAATAAGTCCAGCTCAAAGGCCCCAAAATATTTTCAACAAGATCATAGAAAAAATTTGCTAACTTAAAGAAGGACATGCCTATAAAGGTACAAGAAGCAAACAGAGCATTTGAGGTGGGGTGACTGGCTTTTGGTCATTTGATGAATTACAGATGTTTGCCATTATTTAGGAGGAGTTGGTTACAAGTTGTTATTAGTCATAGGACAAAAAGCTAAACCAAGGAGTTAGATTCAAGGATTTCTTTCTGAAGGAAGAATGGAGCCATAGTATAGAAATGATCAGATAAAAGAGTGGATTATTAAGTCTGCTTTTAAATAACCACTAGTCTTAAATATTTTACATTGGTATGGATTTTTCTATAGTGATACAAATTTAAGTTATTTTATTATACTGCATATATGTTTCTATTCTTGTTTAAGGTATTGTATCTATGTAGCTCATTCAAAAAGGTTATGTAAAGTTCTAGTATTTGAAAGCTATTTAGGATAATAAACACAGGCTAGTAGTTAGTCATCTATAACTATCAAACTTATAGTCATGTTAGGTATGTTTTCAAGGTCATACAGAGATACAGTGTAGACAGAAAGGTGATCTTCAAATGTTTCAATGACCCACTGAATATGGCATTTAAAATCTTTTAATAGCATAGGGCTTTTCATGACAGTGAGTCACTTCTGCTCTTGGCAACACCAATTTACTTCCAAAAAGGATGATGTGCCCACATGGAGTCTGCTTTCTTTATGGCAAAACCTAGATATTTGGACAAGAAACTGATCTTGCTTCAACTGCTGAAAATATGCTGTCCAAACTGGACCATCAGGACACAAAGAAAATTGACTGCCAAACTTTGACAAGAAAGGGCAGAACAGTCCTTCAAAAATTTCTGCTTCACATAAAAGTCTGTAGATACTCTAAGCCTGTAGGCCAAAAACAAGATGCCCTGACATTGCAGAGGAAACTTAAGTGACTGTCCAGGCAGCTGGCTGTTTCTGTTATTCCTTTAGTTTCAGAAGTTGCTTGTTCTGCACTTCCTGTTTATTAAGGAAGTGTCTTTGATGGAGGTGAAGACTAGCTAATCATAGTTGCAGTTTTCCTTAGATATAATAGAAGATAACTTGAGTACAGAACTTTGAACTCACCAAGATAAGATAAATAATAAAATATTTTCTCCAAAATCACCAAATACACATGGATTGGACATTGTAAATGTAACTCTTAACTGATAGTCTTATTGTTTATAGTTTTATTATATTAGAGATAAAACCTTTCCTTTTTATTTAGACCAAAGGAATATTCCTTTGCATTCTGTGAAGATATGTCACTGTGACTGGTTTAATAAAAAGCTAAATGATCAATAACCAGGTAGGATTTCTGGGCACAGAGGATGCTGGGAAGAAAAAGAATGGGGTTAGGAGGAGACTACAGGGATGCAAAGCAAGTAGCATGGGCTTTACAAAGTAAAGGCAATCAAGCCACATACAACAATATAGATTAAAAGATATGGGTTAATTTAAGTTATAAGAACTAGTTAGAAACAAGTCTAAGCTATCAGCTAAGCATTCATAATTAATTACATTTCCATGTTGTGATTTATAAGCTGGAAGGAGGGACAGAAAAGTCCACCTACAATGCTCTGCAGAAATTTCGATGGCATAGATGGCAAAAATAAGATATTCCATGTTAAAGTCAAATTATCTTATCTATCCACAAATTCAGCCCCACTGAAGGTGCTAGAAGGAAAACTCCTACCTAGAAGTTCAACTAAACCCATGAAGTAGGTGTGGCCTTGTTGGAGGGAGTATGTCACTGTGGGGATGGGCTCTGAAGTCTTTTATGCTCAAGCTACGTTCAGTGTGGAACACAGTTCACTTCCTGCTGCCTGTGGATCAAGATGGAGAACCCTCAGCTCTTTTTCTAGCACCATGTCTTCCTTGGTGCCTCAATGTCCCACCATAGTGATAACAGACTACACCTCTGAAACTGTAAACCAGCTCCAATTATTTTCCTTTATAAGAAATGTCATGTTCATGTCTCTTCATAGCAATAGAAAAGCTAATTAAGAAACTGCTCAAGTCCTTCAGCTAGGATTCAACATGTCAGCAGCTTATTCTTAAGAAACTTTTTAAAATTTATAATATGAAATTTTAGAGGTTTTACATCTAGTATTAACTGGAAGTATATTGAAATGTTTTTAAATCATTGCCAAGAAATGAATTTTGAAAATATATAAGTTGTTTACTTATAGTTTGTTCAATACCATTATTATATGATAAACTGCCTAAAATTATTATGATATGAACAGTCAACCTTCATGAGATACTTTAATATTTTACTAGCATATTAAAATGTAAGATTGAAGACAGCAAATACCACTATCATTTGAACTATGAAGGTAAAACAATGAGGCTAACACTTCATTTCTCAGTTTAATAAAAATTAGTTTACTGTTAATGTTTCATAATTAGATAATTCATAAGAGAAAAATGGAACCTTAATTACTCATAGGTACAATGATTTCTCATTTAACTGTACTTGTAAGTAACTCATTCAACATAATTTCATAGATAGAATGTCTTTCAGGGGAACAAAAATATTTTGATATATAAATTTTACTAACAAAATATACTTCATCTGTATCTCGCACACATCTACACTAGTAAAATCAATTTATTTTGTGTTAATATGCCTCCTATTGGATGAAAAATGAAGCATTCTACTGCAAGTGGATGAAAACAAAAACAACAGTTTTATATCTCCAGAAGAGACACTTGTTTTGACTTAGCAACACAGGGAGGGAAAAGGACTGAGGCTATCAATTTAGGGGGGTGTACATGGGGTTAAGTGGGGTTAGCTAGGTGAGTGGGGCTTGAGTGAGAAAAGGGAAGAGACATTGCTGTAACTTCATTTTAATGAAAACATCAAATATATCAAACAAGCCAGTAAATAAAAGTTTTTGAAATTGCCTTACCTTCAAAAGAGAATTTCTAATGTAGTTCTGCTTTACAAAACAAAAGTTCTGTGCTTTCAGAAGACAAAATTATATGCACAGGTCATTGTGCTTATTATTTCACATGGGTGAAATTGTTTGCCTGTGACAGAATTGGATGCACATGGTCTGAAAAAACAGTCTCTTTGAATTTGTGGCAGAAAAATAGATGTCAAGAGAAAAACTGTAAAGCTCAGGCCAGATGACTGAAAGGGCCACAACAACTGAGCTTGACACAGAGCAATGGAAGACTGTGAGGGGCCAAACTGGCTTGGTCAAGTGGTACTCAGCATGACTTAACGACCATATTTTTAGGTTTTCTGAAATGAAGAAGGAGGGGAGACTCAAAAAAACTGACTGGATCTATCAGCAGCCAGATGAACAGTGGACTATATATGGCTTAAAGAACAACTGTAACATCAGAGGAGAACTTCAGGCCTGCTACATATGTCTCTCAAAGGTAAGAAAAGATATGTTTGTAAAGCTTTGGTGCGAGAGTACTTTAGACTTTCTACTGTGGCTGTAAAACAGGCAGCAGTCTGTAAAAGTTAAAAATAATTTTGATGATTACAAAACCTGCAAGATGAGGTCCTGAATTATCATTTTTCTCAGGGAAACATTTATTGACCTTGGTTCAAATGATTTGGCCTTGGGAGACAGTATGATACCCTAGGACATGAAATCCTGGATGTACAACTTGCATAAAAATGCAGCAAAAGAACAACCAGTAAAATTGCAGCTGTTTTAGCTGCCTCTGGTGCCAGGGGTTACCTATCTCCAACTATCAGCAAGCAAGTGCAGCAGATGGTGTAACATATCGCCAACTAAAATGCAGAAGGCACTGCTAAATTCTGCTTTCTGGCATCAGCAATAAGTTATCTGGGTTGAAGGTGAATGTGTTTTCTTTTCTCATCAGCTTTTTAAAAAAAGATGAACTGTGTTAGGTGAGAACCTTTGAAAGCCAAGTGTAAGCATCCTCTAATAACCACCAGTTCCAAGTCTCTCTGTATGAGAATATTATTACAAAGCTTTAACTCATTACCTTCAACAGAGAACATGCTAAAACCAGGCCATTCCAGTATACAAAGATCCTGTAGTTTCATGTTTGCCTCTTTCTTGAAGGTTAGATGTGGTGGTTTGAAGAAAAAATCTTCCCCAAATAGAAGTGTGGCCTTGTTGGTATAGGTGCGTCTTGTTGGAGAAAGTGTGTCACTGTGGAGGTGGGCTTTGAGGGCTCATATATGTTCAAAATACCACCCTGTGTCTCAGACCACTTCCTGTTGACTGCCCAAGAGGTAGGACTCTCAGATACTTCACCATCATATATGCCTGCATGCCACCAGGTCCAACCATGATGATAATTAACTGAACTCCTGAACTATAAGTGAGCCACCCCAATTAAATGTGATCTTTTATAAGGGTGTCTGTGATAATGGTGTCTATTGTAGTTTGAATATATTGGCCCCATAAGTTTATAGGGAGTGTTACTATTAGGGTGTGCAGCTTTGGTGGAATAGGTATGGACTTGTTGAAGGAAGTATGTCAGTGTGAGGGGTAGCTTTGAGGTTTCCTATGCTCAAAATACCTACCAACGTCACAGGTCACTTCTTGTTGCCTGCAAGATGTAGGACTCTCAGCTACTTCTCCAGCAACATGTCTGCCTACATGATCCTGCCATGATGATAATGAAATGAACCTCTGAACTGTTAGCTAGTCACCAAAATTAAATATTTTCTTTGTGGTGTCTCTTCACAGCCATAGAAACCCTAACTGAGACAGTGGATGCTCTCATGCAGCTCTCTCC